ATGTATGCAATGTGTTAATTATTGAATCTGTCCTACCAATTTGGTTTGAAACTGTCTCATTGCTATTTGTTTCTCAATAAAATTATGAGAAAAAAAAAAAAAAAGGCCTGAGGAGTCTGAGACAGCCAAGGGGTAGTCTCAGGTCTCAGGATGTAGAAGACATGATCATTTCTCCTGGTAGGTGAACCACCTCCCTAAGCACTCAAACTGTCAGACCAGCAGTGTTCATTTCCCTCCAATTCCCAGACCCACATTATCTAGTAGCAAAAGAAGCAGAATCTTTGAATAGACAGATGGTTTAGACTAGCTTTTCTAGCCATACATAATAAATTTTTGAGTAGATAATGGTTTATACTAGCTTCTCTACTAGCCAGATAATAATAAACATACATAATAATACTGATCTCTGACAAAACTAAATAAAAAAGGGGATACAAATGAGGGACCATTTTGTATCTGTATATACAAAATAGTTGGGATAGACATACAGTTACTCTTAAGTCAATGAGAAGAAAGATTTGTACTAATAGTGTTTGGACAAGATATCATGTCTGCCTCTTGTACTATGAATAACCAATATGAAGACAACAATATGCAATGTATTAATTATTGAAACTGCCCTACTAATTGGTTTTGAAACTATCTCATTGCTATTTGTTTCTCAATAAAATTAATAAAAAATAATTGAGAGATTGGCTATAAATTTTATCCTGGGAAACTTCTGATTCTATAAACCAAAGGCTAGATACGTTAGCTGTCTTAGTCTGTTTCCTGCTACTATAACAGAATACTTGAGACTTAGCTCTTTCTTTCTCATAGACTGAGAAGTCCAAGATCAAGGTTCAGACCTGCCCGTGAAGGTTTCTTGCTGCAACATCCCATGGTGGCATGTAACAGGGCAGAAGAGAGAAAGATAAAGGGTTTGAAGTTGTCCTTTTACAATGACCCCAATGACATTAATTGGTTCATAAGAGCAAAGCCCTTATGGGCTAATCACTTCTTAAGAGTCCCACCTCTTAGTACTGCTACAATGGTAGTTAAATTCCCAACACATGCTCTTTTGGAAAGCATTCGGAGCATAGCATTACCTTACTTCTGCCACTCTCTAGGACTCACCCAGACTCATAAAACTTGGTCTTAGTCTCAACAATGCTTCTCCCATATTTATACCAAATGCCAAGAAACAAATGACAGCTTCTACTTAAATCTGGGAGAAAAAGAGTGAGTTACTTTTTTTTTTTTTTTTTTTTTTTACTAATGCCTGATTCATAGTACATGAAAAATAAATGGGAACCTTCCTATTTGTCATGAGGGAGCATGGAACATTGAATAGTGACTAGTAGAGTAAGTTAATAACTTAATAAATATACTGTACTTCAGAGAAAACTCAGAAAATAGAAAAATAAAATACTGACAAAACTCTAATCTAATTGCTTCCTCAATAAAACAAGAGACCCTTCTTCCTCTGATATCCTGAGAGTTCCAGCAAAAGGGTAGGAATAGAAACCAATCCCTGGGTTATGTTATGAAATAGTAACCTGTACCAGGAGTTGATCCTAGGCTTGATCAGAAGACTGTAGAAGCCTCCAGTCTAAGCTTCAGTCCCAAGTGTTTGATGGCATGACAAAGTTTCAGTGGTGCATTTGTACCATCTATTAATGACAGCTACTACTTCCTAAAGTATTGTCTTCAAAGGCACTTTCTTACTCTTCTCTGGTTGCTGGGACAAATAGCTGACACTCAAAATGAAGAAAGGGAAGGTTTATTTAGCTCACAGTTACTGGAGGTTTCAAGACACTGCCCCCACTCTACAGGGTCTGGAGGAGAGGCTGAGGTGCTGCCGTGTCCAGGATGAACCTCTTCACGTCTCTGAGGGAGTCTGCTGGCTTGGAGGGGGCAGAACTCATGCTTCCAGTTCAAAGGTTTGCACCTCTCTGGCCCCACTCCTCAAGCCCTTCCCTGATCCTCTGGTCACTCTCCTCCAGCCACTCACTGCTCCTCAAGCCAGGTCTGACCCATGACCTACATGAGCCTTTAGGGAGACAACTAGACACAAACCATAACAGGCACTGACTTGGTATCCAGGCTCCAATTCTGTACCAGATCAACAGCTGCAGTTTTCAAGTGAGGGTATAAACTCCTTGAACATACTGACTCAGTGATGCTCATCCCAAAGGAGAAGGTAGCACACTGGCCCTGTAGACTGGACCGTGAGCCTTTGCAGCTTAGTCCTACACCAGACCGAGGGCTAAGCATTTCAGGTCTTGAGTGAAATCTGACACTTCTTTCTACATCAGTTCCTCAGGAGGACAGCAAATCTGGCTCCTTGTATGCCATGGACTTGAGTGGGGGATTGGGAGGTAGGTACATCATTATGACATATGAATTTTATCTCAAGATAACAAGGGGAAAAATTAAGAAATATTTCTAATAAAATGGGATGTCTTTACAAGAAGAGGAAATTGGGACATAGATACATACCACATGTGGGGAGATGTGGGTGACACATGCAAGCAGAAGACCATCGACACAGGAACGAGGCCTAGGACAGATTCTCCCCTCCACCTTGTGGAAGCAGTCAGCCCTCCTGACGCCTTCATCTCAGACTCCATCCTCCAGAACTGTGAGAAAGATCAGTTTCTATTATTCAGCCACCTGTTCTGAAGTATTTTATTACAGATGCTCTAGTAAGCTAATATACTAGTTTTATATATAATGATTTTACTATAATATGAGGAAATAAATATAATTTACAATAAAATATGCATTTCCATATGTAAATACTCATGCACAACTATATCAAAAGCCATGTTGCTTACACCAACGCTATCTCACCTTCCTCAGTGCCACTAAAGGTACCCTGTGAAAACACCCAAAAGCATCCTTCTAATTCCAAAATATTACCCCATGGGGAGTACTACCTTGGTTGAAAATCACTGAGATATGAGAGGAAAATAAAAAATGTAATTTATGGGCTTAAAGACACTTGGCTTTCAAGAGGTCACAAAATACCTCGTGCTGGCTTGAAGTGGCCTCTGAGAGGAGAGATTCTGACAGGGAGCGAGTGGGACCCCCAACGTGGGGCAGTACAAACAAGCAACAGGCGTGGTGGAACCTCTGGGCGCCAAGGGTGGCACCTGCGCCGGCTGTGGGCATGTGCTCCCAGTTGTGTTTCTGTGTGTTTGGGGGTGTGTGTGGGCAAGAAGCCGCTGTGAGACTTCTTGACAGGTCTGCGAATGTCAGCCTCCTGCTTTCCCATAAAAAAGCTGTTAGTATTTTCCCTTTATGCGCCTAGGTATTGTTGTTTAAAGTATTAAAACAAGCATGGATTACTGTTGCAAGACCAAACAAACCTATCGGGAAAACGTGAATACTAAGCAAAAAAAAAAGGGACAAGAGTAGTATCTGCTGCAATCAAGACTGCCTGAAGACCTTTCTCTCTGTGCCTCACCTTCTAGAAAGTTCTCCCTTTTCTTCGCCTCCATCTGTTGCCATTCCTTCCCTTTACGTGTTGAGCTGAACTAAGAGTCCAAATGAGGAATGTTTTTAAAACACCTACAGCTAGTTTTTAGAGGAAACTTAGTTTCTTGTTGATTTTGAAACAGTCCAATTGCACCGTTTTCCGAGTACTCGTCAAATAAGGCCAACACCCACCGCCCTCGCCAGGGTGCAGCTGTCGGTCTGTCTGTCGCGCCGTCCACTCTTCCACGCTTGGAAGCCTCGCCCTGTCTGCCCTGAAGCCCCAGCCGGGTCTCTGGGCAGACGGAGCGGCGAGCACAGCCCCTCTGCAGTGGGTCCTGCGCCTGCTCTTGTCTCGGGCCAGACCCGCCTGCCGGGAAGCGGGGCGGCGTGGACGCAGCCGCTGCGGAGCGCAGGGGAAGCGCGGAGCCCGCAGGAGGCAGAGAGCCGTGTGCGGGGCCAGGCGGGGGAGCGTGCGGCGGAGCAGCG